CTGTCACAGTCAGCGACGAGTGGCCACCCTGCCCAGAGAAATCGACGTTGCAGCATGCCAACACTCAGCTACTTGCATCATTGTTTGCTCTCACCTGCGATCTGAGGTCTCAGCTACCACACGGCACCAGCTATCCAGCCCGAGTGCCCTCTGCTGGAGTTCTTTGCCTATAGTCGTCCTGCGTTGCTTGAGCTTCGTGCTTGGTCTTGAGACTCTGCAAAGCATTACATGTATACCGCAGCTGTCAGTTCGAACTGTTGCTACCGGACAGAGCGGCAGGAGTATCGCAACATGCATTACAGACACGCCTTGCAGAAGCTATCTTTCGTAACAAACTGCGTCTTTGCGAAGAGCACAGCTCACCACTTGGCCGCGTGTCACAGACTCTGGCCCATCAGCTACAGCTGAGACCATGGACAAACCTCCCAGTCTGGGTCCCTTTCTGGTGCTCAGCGATAGCACCTTGCAGCACATGCTGCGGGGACACACTTACGGAGTGTTCCCGCTGCTGACGGGACAGGTCTTAAGCTGCCCAGGCGCCGCCCTCAACATCTCTGCCGGCAGCGTCCCCTCCATCTTGGAGCTCCTCCACTGGCAATTTGGGCTCTTTGGGCCGCACAAATTCACAGCGGCAGTGCAGAGTCCGCCGGTGGCCTCCATCTTGGAGAACCACCTCGACGGACAAATCAACGTTCGCTTCATTCCGCTGTCCCGAAGCCTGCGCCCGGAGAAGCAAATCAATTATGACTACCTGATCGATGGCAGGGTCCAATATGGATTTGCGGACAAGAACCTGCACAACCAGGAAATCATGGACCTGGCCCAGATGCCTGGTGTAGGAGGGGTAGAATGGCTCTACAACTCCAAGAATCTCCATTTCCGCCCCGACGTCGCGGACATTGTCATCCCGGCGCTTGTAACCAGAGCCATCGAGGAAATGCGCAACACCCCAGGACTGCCTGTCCTCGTGGTCGCTGGTTGGAACGCTCGCGAGCAGGACATGCATGTCGAAATGCTCGCTGCCCAGGCTCTGTCACAATGCCGAACGGTCCGTGATCTTTCGGAGGTAGCCATGCAATACGGACATGGCCCCTGGGGAATGCGCTTCACACATCTCCCAGAATGGGAAGCCGCCCCTGTCCCAGCCCTCCTCTTCCAGACCTACGTTCACGACGAAAAGCCGGAACCGGCCCAAGTTGCGGCCAAAATGTTTGCTGGCTTCACCCGCAGATTCTGTGATGATGATGTTCTTCGGGCTACCCTGCGGCAACTCGCAGGAAAGTACGGCTCCAATCTGCTAGATCGCCTCAGCCAACCTGCTCATCGAGCAGACGTGTTCCGCTACGTCTACCACTACCAGCACGGCGGCCTCTACGTCGACATCAAATGTGGCTTCGTGGTACCTTGGGAACAGGTACTCGTGTATCTCGCAGCAGATTGGAGCACAGCTCACTCAAAGAAGGCAGGTGAAGTGGGTCACAGACCCTCCCCACCTGGCCAACTCCCACAGGAGTTCATGGTCATGGCCATAGGAGTCAAAGGAGATCATATTTTTCAAGGCATCATCTATGGCAAGCCCAGACACCCTTTGATGAGGGAAGCCATACAGCACGCCTTCAGCCGTCAGGTTATGACAGCGAAGGCAAACTTGGAATACATGACCTTCTGCAAATATCTTTGGCAGATCTTGGGTCGCGACCTTGGTCACTCCCCTCAGCCGGGATGGAACGTTTCCACCAAATTTGGCCCCATTTACCTGTTCTCGGAGCGCTGGGACAAGCGAGTGAAGAACAAGAAGTACGACAATGATGGCCACTACTTCGTGACTACCAACAACACGACCGTTGCATATACCCGGTGCTGGAAGTGGCTGAAGGGATTTCAGGGAGACCCAACCACCAAAGAACGCACAGACCGCATGCTGCAGAGCCAACTCCCTGACATCTCCCTTGAAATCCAGTCTGACAGACCTGAAGAGCACAGCTCACCACAGCCACCTAGGTCACAGACCATGGCAACCGCCTCATCGGCTCCCCCTCCTCCCACTCAGGAGGATATTGAAGCCTATGTGGCCGACAGCATCCAGTACAACTCCTTTGCAGAGATCATGGCTACGGTCCGTGAAACCCACCACTACAATCAAGACCTTACAGAGCAGGATGTGCTGGAGCTTATCCCTCGAGGATTAGGGCAAGTGAAAGTTTCGGGGGACATGTGGTTATGCTGCTTGCACTGCCGGAAGCACAACAGGCAGGTGCAATTCAGCACTAGCCACGGCCTTAAGAACCACTTTGTCACTCAGAAGCACAACCCAGCACTCAGTGCCACGCCAGACCCCCATACTCCTCCCCCTCCTCCTCCCCCCAAGCTCCCACAGGAAATTCCTCTTCCCCCCAGCAGTACCAGGACCAAAGGTGTAGACAAAGCAGCCGGCTTTGAGCCGCCTCCCCCCCGTGCCCTTTCACTTCCTCAGCAGCTGAAAAGGCGGCTTTCAAAGCAGGCCAAGCAGAGACACCGAAGGCGGCCCCGGCGCTTCCGGTTAAGGCCCCACCGCCCATGGTGGCCACCCAATGCCCCCCGCCCTCTTCATCATCGGCAGCACCAGCTCCCCCTCCGGCGATTCCAGTTCCCCCGATCCTTCCGCACCCCCCCAAGTCCGTCTCTCCCCCAACCCCCGCCACCCAGGCCGCTCCGCGCTCCCACACGCCCCCTCGTCCCTCTTCCCGTCCCCCGTCAGCATATGAGCCTCCGGAATCCAATGCGGAACTCGTCGGCTATGTCCCACAGCCGGCTCCACGGCTGACAGTACGTTACACGCGGCAGGAGCTGGCTCAGCTGCTGAGCTCCCAGTCCCATCAGGACTGGATTCGGGCCTTAGCTTCCATCAACATCCTGGTGGCTCCGGTCATTCTTGGCGGCCTCACCAACCAGGAACAACAGACCCTTTGGTCTACCAGGATGGAAGCACTCCGAGAAGTTCCGCCGCTGTTCTCTGCCATCAAGTCCGTAAGGACGCAAACCGGCCTCACATGGGACACCGCCATGTCGGTGAGGCGGGTCCTCACAAGCGATGGGAAGGTCACCATCGCCACAGGCGCGGGTGACGCCTACCGTGAGCTGGACGCGCCAACAAAAGTGCATGGCCTTATCCATGCCTGCTTCAACAAGATGTGGGACGAAAAGGCTTTTCGGCAGCACTTCCCCTCGTGGGTCGAGTTCAATATGATCGCCACCACCATAGTGGCAGTCTACAATGAGACGGCCAAATCAGCCGGACTCCCAGCTCGTGTCTTCCGGGTCAAACCCGACAAAAATGCCTACTCCATCATGAAGATGCGGATACAGCATGACAAGGGGAACGAAGAGGACAAGCGCATGGCCAAACTGGCTGCTGCTGCCCCTAACAAGCGCCCACAGATGCAGGAGGCCGACACAGAGGGCAAGCGGCAGCGCGATGGCCCCTCCTCATCCTCCTCGTCCCAGTGGGCCAGACAGGCACGTTCATCTCAGGACGACGACTGGGACTGGTGGCAGCAGTGGTCCTGGCATGGATACTCTCAGCAGTGGCCAAAAGGTCATGACCAGTGAGGGCGGTAATATGTCACAGACTCTATGATCCCTTATGTCACAGACTCAGGGAATTCGGCACTCTTCCGACGCCTAGCACATCTCTTCGGAAGAATGTGAACCGCGTGCTAGCCTCGCTTAAAACAGCACTTTGCGCTTCAGCGAATTGTCCGCATCCTAGCTGCCCAAAGACTCACGCCACCGAAGTTGCTTCAGGTACCAGCGGTCATCCGCACATGACCCTTACGGCCTTCTGTCTTCAACATGAGTAATCCGTGTGGGACGCCACGAGACGGATACTCTAGGTGGCGGCTTCGCCTGAGGTACGGCCTAATTGTTGAGACAGGTGCACAGATGGACGCGTCTGTTCACACCAAGGTGTCGGAGATGGAAGCTTTTTGTAGCAGTAGCAGTTGCAGTAGTATGTCAAGTTCGAGCTGATTAGAGAAACCTGAGCGATGCATGCTAGAAGCAGTTTCACGAGTGCATGAGACCAAAGGCGCCCGCAAAGCGCAGAGCACGCTCGCGCAGCGTTCAATTGAAAAAAAATAGTAGTAGTAGTAGTAGTAGTAGTAGTAGTAGTAGTAGTAGTAGTAGTAGTAGTAGTAGTAGTAGTAGTAGTAGTACAACAACAACAACAACAACGATACTGAGCCACTGATCGATGCTGTACGAGGTTTTAGGCTGGGCCTGTGTTTGCCCCGATGTGTGTCGCACAATCACAGATCCATCATGTCGAGCCCTTTAGGTATCCCTTTGGTCCGGACACACATGACCGTCGCACCGCAAAATGCCTGCGCAGGAAAACGCAGGATCCTCCCTCGTAGTTTATCTACCATCAAGATATGCTAGGAACATGGCAACTAATATTACCGGAAACCTTCCCTTACGTCGTTTCCAGGGTTTTCAAGAAAGCCCCAAGACCCCATCCGACCAAGACGTAATTCCCGAAAATATAATTCCCGGAATACCCGTACGTCCCCACCCGCCGGGATTTAATAGTGGAGGGTGATATGCAGTTCCTGCCGGATTGAAAGGGAAGGTTGCAGCAAACCTCACCCTAAGCTCAGCGGCCGTCAGGCAGTGTGACTGCGGCAGCATCCACGACGACTGGAAGGGAATTTCGGAGAACAGATCCATACGGCCATGCGGATGCAAACCAGCATCCAACAGTACGTGTGTCCTGTAAATCTGCTACTGCTGGGATCGTTTAGCAAACGACGTGCTAGACCACACTGGCCAACGACTCTCAAAGCCGAACAAAAAATCATTCTCAAGCTGTTTTTTGCCTCGCATAAACTGTTTGTCATCATCTTTGATGCAGCACGTAGCCAATCCTAGATCATGAGCTTGATGTCGATGTATTCCCCCTGCTGCATCGTGTTGACAGCTCATCGCTGGCATATCCTTCCCGGGATTTCTGAGTTTCAAGCTGCACCCATGGCGGGTGTCTTGAAAAACAGCTGCGCCAGAGGACGCAGAGCCGCATACAACCTAAGTGTCTGCTGCGGAAATAGTAGATCTGCTGACGGCTTGGGTGAGTGGAAAGCTCGGAGGAGGATGGCAGCTGCGGAGGAGCGAAGGGCGTAGGGCCAACTTGGACACTGGGGCAAGCCACGTGAGCACCACCGGGTGGAAGTCATTGAACACCTCGCAGGAGCGTAGCTCAACAGAACCGGAGTGTAAGAAGTAAATCTGAAAGCTTTCACTGACATGCTTGGAGGTTTGCAGGCTTGTGGTGTCAACGTCACATGTAATGCTCACGATGATGCACCTGCGTGAGAACCTCACCGGGATGCACGCAGTTCACCTGACTCCGGGCTCTCTCAAAACACTGCCAAGGTCGACATGTTAGATACCAGGCTCCTTTGTTGTTCGGATATCGTTGCAGTCTCCTTGTTGCAGATGAGTCACCAGAATCCTCGGGCAAAGTTCCATGGTCTCTCTCACTCGCTGGACAGTCCCGACAGGCTCCTGCTGCCACGCTGGCGCAAGCGCCACGCCAGCTGCCGGCACATCATCAGGTTCGCCAGCTTGGACCTTGTGCTTTGGCAGTCTTGCCTTCCAAAAAACGGTTCAAGTTCATCCAGGATGAGGCCGAACATCGACCGATTGGAGGGCAACTGAGTTATTGAAAACCATCTCTCGGCGGTAGCGACAAGGTGGCAGAAAACAGGAAAGAAGGGGGACATCCTCTGAGCCCGCTGCTGGCCGTAAGCTCGAAACAGAGAGTAAGGCTTGGCCTGCATTGCCCGCCAAAATCTGTCAACTTCATTACCTCATCGGAGGTAGAATTATTGGGTCGATCGGGGCGTTTCCTGTGTCAGTATCTCGGTGAAGCATTTGAACACTCGCTCCATATTGAGATTTTGAGACGAAGCATTGGTCGCCATGTCTTTGGCTAGCATCCGATGTGTCCTTGTCGGTGGCACCCTTGTTTAGCAACCCCGGATTCCCGACCCTTGGGCTGCGGATTGCTATAATAGCTTTGACAATTTTCCACTCAAGCCATGCATTGCGTGGGCGCCGCGTAAGCAGTTCCTTACATGCATCAAAGCGCTGCTACGCCGAACATGGTATTTCTGCAATTCTCGCCAGTGTCGATTTGATGAACTCTCTAAGGTGCTCGTGTCTCTTGTGCGTCGGGCAGCTGGGATTGGGATTGATTCCCTTGGCTGGCCAGTTTGTCTGTAGTGCGGTCCCGAGCCGCTGCTTGGGCGGCGATCCGGATACCTAGAGGTCATGTCGCTCCTTGTGCAGATGTGATGAACGAAACTAATGAAGCTGTTTGTCGATGTCGCATCGCAGAAAAGTATATGGTTGTGGATGTGCCGCCCGGCGTATCGGCCGGTGATTATCGGAGGTCGAGTTGGGCAAGTCCCCAGCTCCGCACCAACATGCTTGTTTTGAGCTGCTGTGTTCATCATGTCATCATGCCCAGGCTCCTTGATGAGGCTTGAGTCCAGGCTTTATCGCACCGTACTCGCTGAGAGAGCGGTGCGAGGGCAGCATGAACTTCAGATGCTCATGAAAATGCTCACGCAAGTGATTTGCATGACATCCGCATGACATGGAAACGACCGGAACCCAAGCTGTGGGACCGGACCAAGAAGAGTTCCCGCATAGTGGGATCGGAGGCACAGACCAGCTGGCAGCAAGAGCTCACGTCTGCAAAGCCACCGACTCAGCGCCCTGGCACAGCGCACACCACACCTCACTGAAGTCGAAGACATCGTGAGCGTAGCAAATGTTCGAACCTCGGGACATGAGTCGCAGGAGCCAAGCAGCCACGGCTTCTTCATTTGCTGACCCGCTGGCAACCCGATGCCTCTCCTGCACCGTCGTCCCCTCTACGGCTCATGCCGCGTTGTCGCTGGGGTCCGAGCCTACCACAACAACCTGTGGGCTCTGAGAGCATCCGATGTCGAACTAAGACTGCGCAAATACTGCGTTCTGAGAAAGTTCCAAGAGCGCCGCAAGTACCATCTGCAGCAGCTATGCCACAAAAAAAGGCAATGCGAAATCATGGTGCCTTCGGCTGCTTGCCCACTGCCTGCATCACAAGTTGGCGATGCTGAATTTGGAAGCGACTGCATGTGTCGCCTCGAGTTGAAGGAGGTCCGGGAGCAGCAGATTCACCTCAGAGTCTTTTTGTGGAAGGTGCCTCTTGGCTCACGAGAGAACGGCCCCGGGCAAGGGCCTGCACAGCAACAGCCACTTTTCAGCAAGAAAGCATGCCGGCAAGCTCCAGCTGCTGCGAGAAATTGACAGATGCGCTTCACTGGCCGAGTTCAGCAGCTATTGGACGACAGCTCTGTCCTTGCAGCTGTCACGCACACTGATCGTTGGGCTTCGGCATGTAGTCAATCGCAGCGCAGCAGTTGGGATACCAAATCAAGATGCATCCGAGCAGTCGAGCTGTGCGATGTCAATGTTTTTGGGCTGGCAAAGCGCTTTCTACAACGAAAACTGCAAGGTGCTGCAAGCGGACTGCACGGAACATCCTGACTGGTCAAGAAGAACCGAATGGTCCTAAGGTGAATTCATGACTGGCTTCGCCAGTCTACAGGGGTGCACCGATAAGTCGAGCCAATGTTATGCCGCTGCAGGTCTAGGAAGAACAAGGGTCGTCAAGTCATTTACCTCGAAGTCGAAGGAACCCCTCCAAATTGACGTGTACTCACCCTACCCTCAAGCTGCTCCTGGCATTCCCATATGTGACATGCCACAGGCGCTAGGAAGTGGAACTCCCTTCAGCGGTCAGCGAATTCCGACCCAGAACGTTTTCCAGATAATGGACATCCGCAAACGTTCTGAGTCGGACTTCTCTGAATCTCCCTCCTTCCTCTCGCCCGTACTAGTGTTATATCCCGACGAGTGGGAAAACGATGAGCGGCTATCAACCGCCTGACACGTGTCGGCGTCATTTTGTCCGGCACAACGGCCGCTGGAACAAAGAAGTCGCCCTTCCGCTATTTCCCGGATCTTGCTTGTTTCTCGATAGAGTCTCGGGTGGTTACGTTTCTGGATCGGCAGAGGGGCAGAAAGAGAGAACACTTCAGACAGGACCACCAGATCCAACTCGAAAACACATGTAGAAAGGATCAACACAGGTCCCATCAGGGTCCGAATACTGTGATTTGAAGCTGGAAGATCCGCCAGACCGTGGTGAGAGCAAGAGGCCGAGCACGGGGACCGATCGGCGATCTCCCTGGTTCCAACTTGCAGTCCCGTGTCCCCGCGAGGGCTGATTTCCTTTTCAGGGTTTCAAGATGAATGATGCTCCAACTCTCGGTGGCTGGACTATATTGCCTATATCGCTGACATACTGCAAACCAGTGTTGCTTGGACTGTGCCAGTCGTGTGTCGGGGCTCGTGCTTGTTTGTCGCCATCGCACTTGCCTTCGAAACCTGAAAGTCCCACCACATCCACCCTCCACAAGTGCTCCAACAGTTCCACACCGCTGCCCTTCCGCAAGTCTCCTTGCCTTCGATGCGGGCTTGGGAGGGATCGGGAAAGTCTTGGGCGGACGCAGGAGTCGGAGTGTGTTGGACTGGTTTCTTTGCCAAAATCCTACAAGCCCTGGCCGCGTCGAGGGCTGCGATGCCCTGTGCTCATGATCCAGTGTGCTGATAGCTGAAGCTTATCTCCACGGCTACGCTAGGCTACGAGGTGCTTGTCTGAGATCATGGCCCGACTTCCATGTGCAGTGCAGATCGGCAGAGTGCGGAACACAAGTGTCCCTGTCAAGTTTCTGCCGCAAAAATGCTACACCATCCGATAGGGGAGAGGTGGACCGCCTGAGTGGTCACAAATATGCGAAAACAGGGGCAAGGCATTGGCAGCGCTGAGACCTGAAGGTGGAATTGAAGCAATCAATCAGGCTCATGGCAATTTAACAAGCAAGGCAAACTGATAGCACAGTAGACAGACCGACAACACCAGTTTAGCACCAATTCTGCCGGAACAGTCCGAATGCACCAATGTGTCGCATCGCGTCTCAGAGCTACCACGCCTCTAAAGGCGGAGCTTTTCCTAAAGCCCATGCAAGAAAAGTGGAAATGCTCAAGTGACAATACAAAGCGGCAAGGGGCTCCGAGCGCTTCGGAGGTACCTTTGCTGCCAGAACGGCCCACAAGTCTGAGCTGGTGCGTGGTGCTCGCGCCCTCCGTCCCAAGAAACTACACCCCCCGCTATGTCTACGTATCGACACGGACGGTGGACGGCCACCAAACATACCTCATAAACGGTCTGCGAAGTTCACGGTGAAGCAGGCTGAAGTTCAAGAGAGCCTGGAAACACTGGGTCGAGTCATCCTGAAAACCTGATCGATGCTGCTTCAGCCTGCAAAACTAACTCCTCATGAGCTCTGCTGGCTCTGCTCTGCTATGCTGTCAAAGCCCACAGCATCCGCGCATCTAGCAGCAAATTCTGACCAGCTTGCTGCGCTTCTGACAGACATGGTAATTAGAACGTTGCCTTAAAGGGGCGAATCGTGTCACAAGCACTGTGGCGAGGACGCTGTTGGCCAGTCTTTCGCACGAGCCACGAACCTGTTTACAATACAAACCACCACCTGTGTGAATTGCGATGTTGTATTCTCTAAACCAGATTCGACAAGCCGGCTCGTGTAGCCAGGTGAGGCGGTTTCTGCAGCCACATTCCATACCTCAGGAGTCGATGCATCACACCAACAGGTGCAGCCGTATCTGCGATTGGTTTTGCAATGCGTTCGGCCCTCAGACCTCATGCACCCCCGTCAGAGCCCTCACAGCCGTATCTGCCTATTCCATCAACAACCTGATGTAGCTTCTACTGTGTTCCGGCTGATGGTGTCGAGAATGATGAAACTTTCGAAAGCTTCCAAATGCCTGATGACATCCTCTTCCACGGATGCAGCCTGCGGGCGCACGCAGATACAATTTTGCAAGACAAGGCACCAGAATGGTTTGACCATGACCAACGAGTGTTTTGCTAGACCTCCTTAGATCCACAAGCAGGTTCTTTGCCAAACAGGTGCCCATCGCAACCTTGCACTTTCCTGTATAGCAGCCATGAATCCAGTCCAGCGAGGTCATGGAGGGCACAGAGATCTCCAAACCAAGCAGTTGAAAGACTCGACTACCGACTACTGTGTCACAAGAGTGTTCGGAAACGGGCTGGAAAATCCTGGCGCTTACAGTAGCCGGCCTCCTGTTCTGGAAACATGACAGGCTTCTGAGTTCTGCGTGGGAAATGGCACATCCTAAAATATGGAGGCGGCCCAGAAAACCAGCCTAGTCCGAGACGTGCCGCGCTAAATGCACAGTGTCACAGGAAAGCCCGATTGGGGCACATCAACGTGACGTGGGAAGCGAAAGAGTCTGGACTACGGGTGCGCTGCTTGAGCAGCTAGGGAACTTCTCGTTTTCTGTCCTATATAAACCACATCGACAGCGTCTAAGCAACGCAATGGAAGTATCGCAGCTCTATCATACACGTTGGCACATCCAGCACACCGCTGCTCTCCAAGCAGTCACTCGGCATGCTGCGAGGCCAGTACCAGAAAGCGCAGGCATGTCACCCACGGGCGTGTACAGCTCTAGGGTTGACACGGCCTGGAATGCCCCCATTTCGAGGAGATTTCCAAAATCCCTGATGCAAGAGCGTCCTAACCTCTAGGGATTGAACCTGGGCTGCTTGCCCTGGCTCCTCCCCGGGTGGGTTGCCTTTGCTCAGCGCCCCAAGGAAGGTAGAAGCCATTCTCGACAATAACGACATAGCATCTACATGACTCCAACAGACAGCAGCTTGCAGCTTGCTTATCGACTGCTCAGGTAAAGTACGTAGTCCCGATCTGTACAGAGATTTGGCTCGTGCCCTTCCTCAGAAGCCAGAAGTGAAGTTGACCACTGGCGTGACTCTACCTGGCGATGCAGCTGCATCGAACTAGGAGCGTCCAGACTAATCAGCTGCTCATGCCTGGAAAGCACTGCACTGGCTTATCAAATCGCCGTCCGATACGCTTATCCAACACTCTGAAACGACTCCCGAAAGCCCATGGTGTGGATATGCTACCATTCGCGCAAAGCTTCTCCGCAAGAAACTGTTTAAGCACCAGTCCGCACCTCCACTCGCAGAGCGATTGGATGAGGGCAGCGCGTGGCCCTGGAAAGCGAAAGCAACTCAAGAGCGACCCCTCTTGGTTCAGCCTGAAACCTCGTTGCTGCGCACGGGAGCGAAAGCGATTCCCAAGCTTGAAAGCTCCACGGCCCACGGCCCACCCCTGCGCCCTACACTTGCCAATAGACTGAAGCTGCTCCCTGCAGTTTAAATTATTAAGAGACTGAAGCTGCTTCCAGGGAGCATTCCTCCCGGCGTGAGCTTTGGAAGATGTATCTGCAGGAATCACGCTATGGGGCAGGCAGACGGTGTCATCATCGGAGTCCTGCCAAGTAACAAGATGTACATTAAATTAAGTGCTTATGAGATCCGGTTCGAAGCCACCTCAACGACACTGCCGAGATGGTCTGCTTCATGTCTGCGGGCGAACGGTTGCAGTGGACACTAGTCACTAGTCTATAGTCCCTTGCCGTGACTTGCCAGAAAGCTGAAATCAAGGAAGCAAGAGGATGTTTGTGAGAGCACACAGCCCGGTCCAGGTCCAAGCCTTCCTCGTCGCTGTCGTAGGCATCCTAACGTGACGGCCGTGAAAAGCTGAGACCGAAACTCCAGAACCGCAGGTGCGGGCCTCGTCAACCTTCCGGATCGGCTGGCGCGGAACAGGAAAGGCGTGGCCTGTGGCCCCTGAGCGGCGAAAGGCGCAGGAATGTCTTACCAGAGGCAAGAACTCTCTAATCATGTGCTGTTTCGGCTCTCGCACTCAGCTGAGAATAGAGGCACATTCACATACGATTCGCTGCATATGTCTTATGTCATTCGACCAGAGCTGCTCATCTTTTTCACACCATCTCGCTTGCTGCTCCCACGCATCTTGACCATGTCCTGCCGACAAGCATGTGCTCAACTCTCCCGATTGTAGCAGATGCTTTGTTGGTCCAACCAGCGCTGAGACTTCCCTTAACGGCTCGGCGGCCGTGTGCAAAGCTTTGAGGCATGTCAGAGCCTCTCAGTGCAGGGTCTTCAGCTCGTGAGTCCA